AGTCGAATTCATTACATTCACTTATGTGCTAATACCCTTGGGAAAGGTATGAATTCTCTTCTTCTCCCTCTTGCTACGGGTAAATAGCAGGACAAATCGGAGATTCTATAGCCTTGGATGACAACTGGTCAGCCGCAGAAAAAAATGGCAACCTACTGCGAGAAAAAATCTGCCTCATCAGTCATGTATCGAAAGATACATGATCGCTTACGCGTATATCACGCATGGTACATAACTAACTGACTGCAACTTACACAACCCTAGTAATATGACAAGGTTGATATGTATTTAATTTTGCTAATTCTGGCATAAGGGTAAAGGCTACTGGTGTTTCTAAGCTGTCATCCGTTTATCATCATGTTTAAATCAGCGTTTATCGACTGGGGCTCTCTGGAACGCTAAGGTTCTCCAAAAGGTCCCGATGTTGTTCCATGAGAAAAGCTGAGATAAGCTAATTTATTTATGTTTATTTTTTATGTTTGAGTTTAGAATTCTGATTTTTGTGTGAAAAAAAACTTCCTGATAAACGAACAGTATGAATTTTATTTAGCACTAGCAGTAGAGCCCGGCGTTGCCCGGGGATGTAACAGTAAGAGATAGATCAAGAATCGACCATCATAAAGACTGAAAAATAAAATTGACAAAGATTATTGTTTAAGGTTGACGGACATGCATGTCTTAATTATTTTTTTTTTACGAATTGGTCAAACCCAAACTCAAACAAAACATTGTTTTCAATCGTTATGAGTCTACCGATTGAATAGAATTTTATTATAAACAATTGTCTTGAAAATGGAATTTTTAAAGCATTCTGAATGTAAAAATAAAGAAAAAAGTGTGCAAGACAATAAGAAGCACTACCTGCCCCCCATGAAGTTTTGTTGAAATCGGTTGAAAAATGTAGGAAATCCGATCCCATATATAAACGAACACACACACACACACACACACACACACACACACACACACAAACAAAAACAACCAACCTGGGTTTTATAATAAGTATAACTCGATATGAGTTGTTCCCCTTTCCTCAATGCCTCTTAATCGTGTTTTCAAATTGATTTCGTGCCAAAACAATTGTGTTTTTCCAATTTTTGGCGCTGTCAGAACCACCGCAAGGTAATTTTACGTAGTCCTGTGAAGAGTTGTTGAAATCGGTTAAAAAATGTAGGAAACCCGATCCAATATATAAACGAACAGACACACACAACCTTGGTTTTATAAATAGTATGATTACCGAAAAATTTGACAAAGAAGTATTAATTTTTCCTTAAACCAGCTATTCAAAAATATATACTATTATATTTACCATGTGAACTACGATGATACGGTATATAATTTTGTTTTTGCGTAGGAGTTCCTTGAGACATGTAATTTATTTTAAAGGTTACGCAATGGTAAAAAGTTTGAGAAAGGGTAGTTTAAATTCTGATAAGTTTGGGTGTTTTTGTATTATGTAGCTCTATTAAAGTAACATTAAAGCAGAAAGGGGGATTTAAAATTAATTTCTGAAGCAACTGACAAATGTCCCGGATAAGCTGGGCAAAATTTTACATATAGCTGTAAATCAAACGAGCAATGACACTTCGGGCTCCAACCGTGAAACATTCGCTATTCACATAGTATTTCATTTTAACGTGTGCGTTAGACCTTCCTTCACTTTGTCCTGTCGTCATTAAACCGGTTTTATAGCCGACATCATGCGGAAGAAGAGGCCTTGGCCAAGGTAAGAAACGGTCGCAGTAGCCACGAGAAAACTTCAGAATGACATGGAAAGTAGACAACGTTTCATTTAATTATTGGAACTGTAATCATTGACAAGCGGACAGCTGCGCTACGAAAGTCGATTTAGGAAGGTAGGAGTCTGTGTCACTCTGTAGGCCTTCGTCAAGTGGATCTAAAACTCTGCCCCGACCCGGACCGCGCACCGACAACACACACGTGCCAAAATGAAACATACCCACGCATATAGATATACATGCATCATTCTAAGTTTTACTGCTTTTCTTTCTTCTTTACCTCATCGGTAACATAATAATTGCACTTTGAAAACGAAAGCTGGCGCAGATTTCACTCATCGGCAGTTTCCGGCTTCCAAATTAAGTGCATTAAATATATCTGTTGTGTACGAGCGTTCGTTTACATTATACATTGGGGACACTTTGAAGAAAATGTCTGAACCAGATGCGAACTATGCATTAGTGACAGTTTTAGAGAATTCCAGGACTAGGATCTTCTAGAAAACTCCATAACTAATTCCAATCACCTGATGAATTGTTCACTGGAGGTCCTCCCAAATTCTTCCATATTTTGTTAGTATGCGGTGAACGTTAATAATTTTGAATCGACATTCGATCCACCTTGAAATGCTTCGACTACTCAAAAATCTGTTTTCGACCTGAAGAATCTTCGCCAAAAATGCTGGCGAAGCATTTCAAGGTCCTTGGTAGAAAAATTTCTGAGCTTCGGCGTAAAATTTGATATAGGCGTGTTGCTCGAATTTTTAGCCATCGTAAAGATTGTAGAGCCTTTCCAAATACATTGAAAAACAACGCGTAATAATCCAACACGAAACAATTGCATGAAACCTATTGATTAGTTAAGCTGGTTAATAATGAGCTAATTTCTGTTGAACAGTACATTGGCAGCCTGTATAATCCGGGAACTTTTCCATAACGTCTTGTATTAATATGATGGATTGATTGATTCATTTTCTATGGCTTATCACCCATTTGCAGGCTATTTAAAGCTAGAAAATATTTTTAGATTGTGAGAGGTTTTTTTTTTTAAGATAACAATGATTTAGTGATACAAGTCTTACTCATTAACACATAGCTAGAAGGAGAGAAAACGGATTCTTAGCTTTCTTTATGTAGCTTGAGTGTAAGTGTATATAACGAACTCAACTGGAATTTGAACTCGAGTCTCCGATTATCGATTCGGAGACATTATCCATTACACCACCTGCACACCCAAGCTTACAGCACCTAGCATTTCCAAGTGGTCACCTATTTAGTTATTGACCAAGTTTGACGTTGTTTAACTTCGGTGACCGTACGGGAACTCGTGTTTCGGCGTGATAAAAAAATCTTTAGTATTTAAAATATATTTTCTGGCTTTAAATAACCTGAAAATGGTTGATAAGCCATAAAAAACGTATCAGTTAATCTCTACAGCAGGCGTTATAATAATAGCTTATATGGATGTGTTGGTGTGGATTAAAATGAGCACACCAGTATGTATGTGTTTATGTATATGTTAGCGCCACTCCAATCAAACACAGAAGTAGATTCCCCCTCCCATCACCAAACATAATCAAACAAGTATAAATAGATCCCATATAAAAAAAATATCTCTTTGTCTGATGATCGCAAAAGCGTGAAACGGAGGGTCACAAATTCGTATCCATACAACTTATAAAGTTAGCTCTATCACTGATATTGAGCGCTTTCCACTAAGTATAGCGCATGTAAAATATAACACACACGCACACACACACACATATATATATATATATATGTGAAAAGTGTATATAAATATAAATAAATATGTATATGTATAATTATTTATATATTATATGCGCGGTACTTATTAGAAAGCGCTCAATATCAGAGATAGAGTTAACATATTTGGTTGGATAGATGTGAGTTTTGACCCTGGGTTTTACGCTTTAGCGATCGGATCGCTAAAACGTGAAACCCAGGGTCACAAACTCACATCTATCCACCATATATATATATATATATATATATATATATATATATATATATATATATATATATATATTTGGTATTACACAATAAAATCCAAATTTACCTCCTAGTGGGGGAATAAACCTATTTCAACCGACGAAAACTTTTATCTTATTATAGTTTTATTTTTAAATATATTTCATACTTTAATTTAACAATATTTTTATTAATTATAATTTTAAAAAAATATAATCGTAATTAATTTTAATATAGATTATCTAAATATCACTTATTTTTAATACATTTTTAATTTATAAGTTTACCATTCGTTTATGCTTTCAATATTGTTCCTACTATATATTTACTATATATTTAGATGTCCTTGATATAATCCAAAGAATAATCTGCAATATTATTGGCCCGGATCTGGCATCGTGGCTTCCATCAGATCCCCAGTAGCTTTCTTTTGTCTTTTCTATGAATATTTTTATGATAATTGTTCTTATGAAATTTCCTTTAAGTTACCTCGACTTTATGAATTTAAACACAGTCTTAGATTATCATCAAGCTCTCATCATTTTACAGTTGAAATGGTTAGATGTAACCGTAAGTTCTATGATAACAGTTTCTTAAATCAAACTCCTCGCTTGTGGAAGACTTCCAGCTTCTTGTTTTACAGTTAACTTTGATCTTCAAGAATTTAAATGCAAAGACAGTCGTTATCTTCTGTCTTCTTAATTTCTATTCTTTTATTGTTATCTCTCCTTAATAATGATTTTCTCATATTCTTTCACACTCGGTAACCCCTGCGTCTTAGTGTCTTTTTTTCCTTGTTTGACGTGAAATGATTAAAAAGTAAGAACGATTTATAGATAATAAAGAAAAGGAACTGCTATGTAATATTTTATCTCCTATCCGACAGGAAATGTGGTACCGTCTCCTTATAATTGAAGAAAAAGCTCGTGGCGACAGGAATGAGGTTCTACTGGCGAATGTTAAGAATATCATGAACAGAACTTATGATGAATAAGGAAGTTTAAAGGAAATTTCTAGGGCACATGGGGAAAGAGGGCTTAGTGAATTTAACACTAATAGGAAATACTAAAAGCAACACAGGCAAAGGGCAATAACATTTAACCTAGATAACGAGTTTGCGTGAAGTGGGGGTGCAGAAGACAAGGATGACAAGGGATGAAACAAAACACGAGAAGTCTTATGATCGCCCACGTCCTGAAAAAAACATGACATATAGAAATAAAGATGGTCTTATATGGATGTGATGAGATAAATAGACAATGAAGAGACTAACATAGATAGATAAGGAGAGACTAAGATAGATAGATAGATAGATAGATAGATAGATAGATAGATAGATAGATAGATAGATAGATACTGACATAGATGCATAATGATAAGACAGATATAGATAAATAGAATGATAGATAATGAAGAGACTAACATAGATAGATAGATAGATAGATAGATAGATAGATAGATAATGAAGTGACTAAGATAGATAGATAGATAGATAATGAAGAGACTAAGATAGATAGATAGATAGATAGATAGATAGATAGATAGATAATGAAGAGACTAAGATAGATAGATAGATAGATAGATAATGAAGAGACTAAGATGATAGATAGATAAGATATTGAATAGATAAGATAGATAGATAGATAGATAGATAGATAGATAGATAATGAAAGATAAGATAGATAGATAGATAGATAGATAGATAATGAAAAGACTAAGATAGATAGATATAGATAGATAGATAGATAGATAGATAGATAGATAATGAAAAGACTAAGATAGATAGATAGATAGATAGATAGATAGATAGATAGATAGATAATGAAGAGACTGGCATAGATAGGTAGATAATGAAGAGACTGACATAGATCCGTATATATATATATATATATATATATATATATATATATATATATATATAGATAGATAGATAGATAGATAATGAAGAGACTTGAGATAGTGTATAGAGTGAGAAAGGAAAGAAGAGAGTGGGGAGAAAGAGAGGAGAAATAGGGAAGACAGGGGGAGAAAAAAAAGGAGAGAAAGATGAAGTAAAGAATACTGGTAAAAGAAGAATAGGCTGACATGAAGATAAAATTACATGGACTGGCTTTGCACAATTAAAGCCGACGGTAAAAATATCACTTTTTTCGGTTCTCAGTAGGTTCGGTAGAGTCAAATGAAAATTACAATTTTACAGAAGAACCATTTAATATGCCCTGTAGGTCAGTGTTGTGGAGGGGAACGAACAGACAACAAATACAAGACTGACATTTACAAACTTAATTCAATTAAACTCTTTTCGTTCGTACGTCCGCATCGAGCTCTGTTTTGGTCCCTGTTGAGCCGAGACAAGACGAGGTCATTTGTACGGCGATTGATTTAACAGACAGGCGTATTGCGTTGTTTTTACAACAAATATTTTTCGTCAGCGGCATTGAGTCTTGGAAGAATTTAATTAACGGAGAACTTGGTGGAGGATTTTGTTGTTTTAACAGCTTTGAAACCTATATCACTTATTTCCTTTTTATGTTAATGTAGGTATATATATATATATATATATATATATATATTTCGATGGTCTTTTGAACAGGAGTAGTGGTTTATCCCTTGCCCAATGCTTAGGAGTGAGTTTCCGGTTTTTTTCTAAAGTCATTTTACTCTATAATTCTGAAATCTCTGCCTAAACTCTGAAATTTTATATATCTACTAAATAGGAGTAGATAGATTCCGCTATCGTCCAGTTCAAACTCCTCTCCGGTCTTTTGATCTGGAGTAGAGGTTTAGTCCTTGTTTTCTGATTTAGGATTAAGTTTTCGGTTCCTCCTAGATTCATTTTCCATCATTTTCACTCCCAGTAGCCACTTGCATCTTAATGGCATTATCGCCTTGCTTGGGGTAAATTGCTTTCACAAGTGGACGGGGTGATTTCTAGAGTGTCCGTTTACAAAACATTGGAGATAGAATGTTGAAGTTAACATCAATAAGCCAAATGACAAACTTTATACTTGTATTGATTCTCTCTCTCTCTCTCTCTCTCTCTCTCTCTATATATATATATATATATATATATATATATATATATATACAATGTTTCGTTAAAGACGAAGGACAAGGTACTACAATTAAGCTTTTTATTTAATTTTTCTTGTGTTCGTACATGGGTTTCCTTTTCTAAAGCATGTAAAAATTACACCGATCACATTACTACATGCTTATCCAGACAACTTACATTACACCTATCCGACCACAGATCTATTAGAACTTATTTGAACACACACACAAACCAACCAGACTCCATCCGAAATATACTAGTAGAAAATACAAACTTAATAATCTTATCCACATGTAAAAAAGATTCAAAATAATGTAAGCCTTAATAAAAAATAAAAAAAACAAACAACACTTAATAATATTAACTACGAACACGGCCACAATGTGCTAACTATGTTCGGAAAATAAAATATCTCTATAACCTTAGTTCCATATACATAACCCATACATTTAGTTAAAAAGTAAAGATAAAATAATTCTTGATAATGGCTAAAAGTATAGTCGAAAGAGGTCGGAATTACAGAAGATTTAGACATTTTTTACACACTTTGGGATCAGAAAAGAAAACACTTGTACGAACACAAAAAAATTTAATAAAATCGCAGTATCTTGTCAGTTGTCGTTAACCAAACTTGTACAAAATACAAATTATATATATATATATTTCGACATTAGCACAATGTCATCATCATTTTCTTAAGACAAAACCGTTGTGTTTATCTGAAAGTTAAATTTTTAACTGTCATGTGAAAAACGCTAACGTTATGTACGATTTAAAATCTAACTATCTAAACGTCAAGGGAGGTAACTAGGATTAGAATGTTCATATATTAAAAAAAAAACAAAAAAACAACACACTTTGTTGTCTTTCTCCTAGACCTGAAGATTATAGGACCCACTTTGTACTGCTATTAGTTGGATGTTGGGGGAGAAGAGATAGATTTGTACCTTTCCCTAGGTTATTTGCACGTAAATGAATGTAACAAACTCGAGTTTGAAACCAGCTCTCCGATACCACAATCAGAGTCACTATCCATTACACACAAACAAGAAATATTTTGCAAGCTTTTTAAAATTTTCATTCAGGTTTTCTAGTATCCTAACAATTTATCTTTATTGAAGGCTAAGAGTATGGAGAAATTGTCTACATATTTATTCTTCAAAATGAAAAGATATTAGCTCCATTGATAAACTAAATAAGAAACTTACAAACTATTCCTTGACCGCCATATTCAACGAAACATACTTAAAAGTATCGTTTCTATCTAGATATTCAATATACATAAAAAATACATAAAAATAAACAAGTATAAATAATCAACCAATCCAAAAACTACTATATGACGATGAAAAACATTAATACGTTACGCAAAAATCCAAAGCCAAATAAAGTAAATAAAATATGCAAAATAAAAAAATAAATAAATAAATAAAAATTAATCCAAATAAATAAAAGAAAAGAAACAAATTAACAAATCGCCTCTGCTAGAATAACGGTTAGAACTAAAAAAAAAAAAAAAAAAAATCATAGTTAAGCAAAAACAAGTAAAAATAATAAATCCAAATAAATTAACTAATTTAAAATTACCCCCTCGCCAAAATAACAGAATAGACTACGGAAGCAATCTAGACATTGAACGAATAAATAGCTTTAGTTAAGCAAATCCCCACCGGCAATTTTTTTTACTACGTTAATAAAACATCAAAAAGCGAAAAGAATAAATAATACAAAATGAAAATGAAAAACAAATAAATTAACCCAAACAAATAGATAAATAAACAAACAAGCCACTCCCGCAAAAATGAGCGCCAAAATAGATTACCCACAATGCACCACAGACGCATATATATAAATAGCCAAGGAAAAATCCAACATTCGCGGCCTGACGATTGCGCCTAGCATGAAACACCTGTCGCTTCTGAGTCTTGACTTCAATGTATGCTTTTATATTTATATTTACATACGCTCTATCTCTGATATTGAGCACTTTATCTCATTAATATAGCATACCTTAAAACTATATATATATATATATATATATATATATATATATATATATATATATATATATATATGAGAAGAGAAAAGAGGTGCTGCAAACGTTTTGGTTGTAATGCAGATTTTTTTTTTAAATATTATATTTTATTTTCCATAATTTTACTACACGTGTTTCTGGTCTCGTGACCGTCTTCAGATAAAAAGCGGAGATTTCCACATATTTTTTAAAAATAATTTTTTTTCTTATGTTTTTCAATGTTAAATATTCTCGATATGAGCCATTCTCTGTCTTGTGTTAGTAATCCGAATGTCTTTCTTGAAGAGTTCTGCGTGAAGGGTCATAAAACAATTAAGATTGGTCCAAGAGAAATGATGAATTACTTATCGGCATTTTATCTTTTAATGTTTTAATGACCCCTGTGTGTTCTTAGATCTGTTTCCATTTTCGTGTGTTTCTGCCAACATGCGTGTATATATGCGTGCCTATATTCCCCCTCCATACATATACTGTCTCACTACGAGGAATTAGTAAACTCATTTGTACACATACACACATACATACACATACGCAAACACACGCACACACACGAACACATATTTATATATATATATATATATATATATATATATATATATATATATATATATATATTGAACAATAAGAAAATAAAAAATTAAAATCTTTAGACACACTGGGTTGTAGATTAATATTCTTTCGTCGTTTTTATTATTATTCCATTTAGATTCTTCGACTAGTTTTGACCGAAATGGCCATCATCGGGAGGATAAATATTTCTGCTTGTTGGTAGCAGTGAACTACAGAAATGAATGTCTTGATGGAGAAAATGAACTTTTGTCTGTAGTTTTCATTTGTTTTTTTATTTTTTTATCTTTTTAACATGAATCTTTTAACATTCCTTGTGTTGGTCAAACAGTCTCTTTTAAGTTGTTATTTGAGATAAGAACTGGATAAGATACATATTATTCTGAATTCTCTGGTCAGTTTGACAGTTTTATTGGACCTGGTGAGGGGATGTGTCTCTATTTAGTGTTTGTGTGTGTGTTATTTGGTTCTTAGGGAGTGAGTGAGTATGATATGTGTAAGCGTGTGTATTGCTGTAGGTGTGTGTTATCATTTGGCTCATTAGGGGGAGTGAGTATGATGTGTGTAGTGTGTATATTCGTGTGGGTGTGTGTATAAGTGTGAGGCCTCCAC